CCCAGCCACCGCTGCAGCTGGTAGCTCCGGCGGTGATTTAAAGGGCCCAAGGCTCCCAGCCGCCACTACTGCAGCCAGAGCCCTGGGCCCTTTAAATCTTGATTTAAAGGGCCATGGGATTTAAAGGCCCCGCCCCTTCTGATCGAGGCCACACCCCTTCCAGTTGAGGCCCCGCACCCCAGCTCAGGGGTAAGTCCTTTAAGTTACTTTCACCTCTGCTTCTGGGGCACCTAGCATTGGCCACTATTGGAAGATAGGATACTGGGCTAGATGGACCTTTGGTCTGACCCAGTATGGCCGTTCTTATGTTCTTAGCTAATGCGGCTCGGTTCCTTCTAACAATAACTAAAGGTTATATATTTAACACGGGAGATGCAGGCACATAATCACTCAGTGGTATTCACACCAGGTTCAGTGAACTGTATGTTCATTCTGGGTCAAGTCCAAGGTAGGTTGTGCTTTATTCTCCTAGCCTCCTGCTTTATCCCTTCCATTCCTCGGCCTCTGACCCACATGCACCTTCTTGCCTGGAGTTTAGGACAGCGCCAGACACTCTGTCACCTTTCTGCAGCAGCCTATCCTATTGTACAGTGTCCCGCCCACCTCTGGTTCATTACGGCCTGTATTGATCCATGCTGCAAGGATGGGTCCATTCATTCTATGGACTATGAAGGACCCAATAGCCTGGGGCAGGCCGGAGTGCTGGGCTTTGACAAGGAACTGTCCAGTAAACAAAATCCAACAGCCAAATTCTGGGCTGTTACACCATGAACAAGGGGGAAAGCACACCCAGAATTCAGCCCAAGGATTCCCGGTCTATATCACACGCATTGTCTCAGTGGCTAAAACAAACAGAATTAAAAAAAAAAATCAAATAGACTTTTCACTCTTATTCCGCCCGTTTATTTGCTTCCATTGTTTTACTCTCCACTGGAGCAACAAAAGCAGACCGTAGCCAGTTTCTTGCTAGTTTCACCCCCCCAGGTTTGCATATGCCAGCACAAGCCTGCAAAGTTTGCAAAAACAGCCCTGGGGAGTGTTTCTAGATCCATGGATTGGAAGGCCAGCCTGCATTAGGATCGGCTAGGCCAAGCTCCTGTATCACAGGAGCCAGAGAATCTCACCCTGACTGAGCCCAGAGTCTGTGGTTGAACCAGAATGTAGCTTTAGGGTTTAGATCCAAGCCAAAACCCAAGAAATAGCACAAACCTGATCTCCTTGAAAAATATATTTTTTAAGAAACCCATCCAAACATTCCTATTAAATAGGAGGTTTTGTAAAACTTTAAACAAAATCCCCACACGCTCAAAGCCCTACATCTTGGCCCTCAGTGGCCCAATAGTGGCTCTTTCAGATGTTTTCCATGCCAGCCATGTATCAGTAGGATCCAGATGGCTTGTCAGTTACTGTAGCTGCATTATCTGGGCAGTCAGTGCTTGACCTGGCAAACAGAAGTGTTTGGCTGCTGGTCTCGTTTCCAGTTACTGTTCATTTCCTTGAGAAACGTCTCACCCACAGCCCCTCCTGCTGACTGCGGTTCCTGCCCACGGTACTAGGGGGAGCAGTTCATGAGGGGTTTTTTTGGGGGGGGGGGTGTCAGTGCCCTGCTGCATCACTCTGTATTGGCATTGAACAGCAGGGGAGAGGAGCTCCTGGGCTCACATATTTGTGTCCCCAAAGAGAGAACAGGGGGTCTGACCCCCAAAGAATAAGCAATTGTATCAACTGGTTGTATACCAAGTTCTTGTGTATTAATATACGTCAAGCAGGGTCGTTTCTGAAAGCTGGTAATGCTCTGCCCTGGATGGTCAGTAGGAGATCTGTATCCAGGCTCTGGCTAGGAATGTAGGCGGGGCTGTATGTGTAGAACACTGTACTTGTAACCGGGGTGCTATGGCAGCACCTCCTCACAGCAGAGTGGAGCCGCAATAGGGCAGGGAGGCGCACCTCCCACGCTAGCTGTTCACACAAAACTAACTCCACACCAGCCCTGAGGATGAGTTCTGGGTGGCTTGAAAGCTTGTCTCTCTCCCAACAGCAGCTGGTCCAGGAACAGATGTTGCCTCATCCAGTGTGTCTCCACGCACCTAGCATCCTACGACCGAGGGAAAGACAACGGCTTTACAACTTTAAAGTTAATAGAAAGCCATTTAAACTGAGAAGAAAACCCCAGTCTTGGAACATTAAGGCAGGAGTTTCCCCTCTCTGTGTAACCATGAATGACCATAGTCTGAGAGAAAGAAAACCTTGTTAGAAGGGAAGGGGGTTGAAGTGAAGGGCCAGCATCTAAGCGGGGTGCTGTCCATGAAACACGGGATCCCCTCTACAACACGGGGCATGCAGGGAGACTGTTCAGAGGCAATAGGTAGTGATATTAGAGAAGGGAAGTTAGCTCCTAGAGAAGCGTACAGCCAGGGCCGCGCCTTTATGTTTATTTTCTGTGTAACTCGGCTGTTTGCTTCCTTGACTATTCCATCTTTGAATCTAAACAAACTTCTTGTTGATCTATGCCCCATGCAGGTCTCCGGTGGGCATCCTGTGTGTGGCAAAGTGAGCTGATAACCTAGGGCAGGTTTCACCCCTGCAGGGGTGCCAAGCCAGAGGGGAAAGTCCCGGTGTCTGGCAATTAAGAACTCAAGCAGATGGATCTGGCGGGAGTTGGGACCGGAAGGGCTTGTTGGGGTCACCCTGCCAGGAGTAACTAGGCTGATGGAAACCAGGGTGAGACCTTTTTGCTGGCAGGCTGGCTACTGGGGTCAGAGCTCTGAGCCATAGCAGCCTAGCATTAAGGCATCCAAAGTCACAAGGCAGGCGGTGACAGAACCCCATACTGGTCTGGGTGATCCCCAAAACGTCACAGTCCTCCATGCACAAAACCAGAGGGCTCCAGAATTCTGATTCCGTGCAATCTGACCGAGTCACAAGAGGCCCCAGGGCACCACCACCCTGTGCCCTGTGCCTTCCTCCGTGAAAAGTGGGTGGCTGGGATTTGGTGGTGGAAGTCCCCACTGTGCATCGGTGTAAATGACGGCCCAAGGTGCAATGCACGGGCAAAGTGAGCCCAGCATGTATTTCAGGAGGGGGGCGGGGATACAGCCCATTGTCCCAGTTACCTGTACAGCTTGGGGATGGCATGAGCAGCCGTCTTGCGCACGTATGGAGACATGTCTGACGCCGCCTCCTTGATGGCCAGCATCATGATGGGCACTATGATGGGCACCCGGATGCTGGAGAGAACCCGCAGGGCACTGGCCCGGATCAGCTGGTTGGGATCCTGCAGTGGGGGGGACATGGAGGCAGCTCCAGGAAGGCTTCACCGCGGAGCGCCCTTCCTGACTCAATCGGGGCAGGGTGAGGGCCCTGCAGCACCCGAGGGTGCCAGAGGGAAGCAGAGGGGTTCGCTTGGCACTGCACTGCACACTTGGAAATTGATTCCCTGCGAGGCGAGGCTCTTGCTCATTAACACAGATCTGCAATCCCTCTGGCCAGTGCCCCCTTCGGATCCCAGGCCTAGCTCCCGAGGGGTGGGGGGCGGGATTTAGCTGGAGTTGTGGGTGCTCAGCACCTCCAGGAACCAGCCCCCCAGGATTATGGTGGCCCCACGGGGCGGGGGAGAAGTGAATGGCCAGGGGCCCTGCTGCAGTCTGAGCACAAGGGCCCCAGAGCAGAGCTGCTAGGGACACAAACCTGGTACCGGCTCTTTTGATCTCACCCCATTCTCTAACCCCTGCCCAATCCCACAGGAGCCCCAGGCCTCCCAGTGCCAGAAGCTGGGCCTTCCCCATAGCTTCTCAGAGGCAGGCGTCCCTGGAGGGCCCCCCACCCACATAGGGCTTTATACCAGGACCCTTTGGGGAAGGTGTGAGCAGCTGGGAAGGGGAGGAGGGAGCGCACTCCCCCCCATGCAACCCACTGCTTTGGCTCTGCCTCCGCCCGCCCCCCCCCCCCCGGATCACAGCCTCACACCTGACCCAGAGCCCAATAACCCCACATGCTGAGCTCTGCCAAGTGCCTGGAAAGGCCTGGCTGGGGTGCAGCGGCCTCTCTGCCAGGGGCCCCTTTGAGTTCTTCTACCCGCTAGTGTCCAGTGTAGCACTGGACCCCCGGATCCACATGGCAAAAGCACAGACCATCCACAGCAGGGCCAGCGCTGGCACCCACCATCAGCTCTCAGGGACTGGACTTCTAAGGGCCTGTGCCAGCTGACTCGGGCTTGGGCTAAGGGGCTATTTATGGGGTGTAGGTGTTCGGTCTCTGGGACCATCCCACCTTGCAGGGTCCTAGAGTCTGGGCTCCAGCCTGACCTTGAGGCATCTGGCACAGGCCAGCGGCAGGTTTTAACTGCACCATAGACACACCCCGAAAGGCCCCCAGCTTTTCACCATGGGGCCATCCGGTTCCAGCCTCCCCTTGTGCCTATCACTTCATTCTGACCAATCTGCACCTCCAAGAGGAAGCGGAGATGCGGACAGGTACTGTGGGGGCAGCACTCTCTCTTCCTCCACAGCAGCACCCCTGGGAGCTGGGCACCAAAAGGGCACCGGATATGGAGGGGAGAAAGGCAAGGAATTGCTTCGAACATGCCTGTGCACCAGAACCCAGCACAACCAGCCACCCCCTGGGGCCAGCCTCGGCAAAGCACTTCGGGATTAGGCACTGCCCGGGCTCGCTTTGTGGTGCTGCAGTGACATGCAGAGCCCACGCCAGGCTGTGCCAAGGGTGAAGGGGCAGCAGGTTGTACTGAGGTGGCACTGGGATGGTAACACATGGGAGTGGGATGGGCGGGTGCCTGCTAGGGAGGATCCTCAGAGAGAGCGCCCCAGTTTGTCCCTTGTTCTCTGTCAGTCCAACTGGGAGAGGCTGGAGTGCAGCTTTGGCGTCAGGAGTCGTGGTCCATTGTTGCAGGTGGGATTAGGGTACCTGTCCCTGACCTCACCCATAGCAGGTTGAGCTGACAGCCCCGAGACCTGTATGTGTGGAGCGCATGGATGAATCCAGACTGCAGCACCATGGGCCATTAATGGGGCGGGGGGTCTCACTAGGGACTGTGTGGGGGCTGCTTCCTGGGGCACTGGGTAACCCCAAATGTCAGGGCTGCAGCAGCTGCTGCTCAGTTGTGGCATTGCTAACTTTCCAGCAGAGGCCCCGTTTGGCCTCCCAGTCTGCTCCCTTCCTCACTTCCCCCCATCTGCTGGTCTTCCAGGGGGGCTGCGCTGGGGAGATTCCAGAGGGTGACTCTCAGATCAGCTGGACAATAGGAGCCAGAGAAGTGTGTCCGAGTCTCACTCCGGGGAGGGTCCCCAGCGCTGGGGAAGGTTTATAGTTAGAGGGCCACAGCAGGATGCCCAATGTTTCTTGATTGCCTTCAGTCTGGGCGCGAGTGTGTGGGAGTGCAGGTGTACAAAAGCCCCTCCATGCAGAGGGCCTGCTCCATGGCCACAGGGTTTCCCTGCCCCTGGCTCTGTAACCTAAGCCCAGGCAAGACCACCCCGATCCCAGCAGTGAGCACCAGCAGAGCCATCTACTGCCATTGCTGGAAAACAGGTGAGACAGTCCTCTCCTGCCTCGGTTTGGGGCAGCACCATCCCCCAGCCCACCGTCAGCCCCTGAGGTGCCCACACTCCAGTCCCCACCCCCTCTGCCCGCGACCCCTGACCTTTAGTCCTCGCTGGAAGGTGGAGATGGAGAGCAGGGCCAGGTCCTGCTGTTCTTCCGCATAGCGGACCAAGTAGACGTACACCAGCTTCTTCACCTGCCAGACACACGGGCAGAGACCGAACCCTGTTAGCCAGGCTCCAAATCCCGCTCCACCCCGTCTGTTCCCCACCCTCATTGCTTCCTCCACTGCCACGCCAGGCTGCCATCCATGCCAGCAAAGAGGGGTGATTGCCCCCACATCTAGAGGCCCAGGGTATCGAGGCGGGGGGCAGAGGCAGGAGGGCGTGAGCTTAGAGGAGCGGGGTACGAGGGATGTCACAGGGAAGTTCTGCTAAGCAAGCTGAGTGCATCACAACAGCTGCTTCTCCCAGAATCCTCTTTGCTGCGGCAGGGTCTGGGCTGGATTCTGGCTCCTCCTGCAATCCTGGGCTGGGATGCCGTCCCATGTCCATCTCTCACCACGTGGCCACCCTGCTGCCCAGTCTCGGGGTGCAACAACCCCACAGCCCTCCAGGCAACCCCACCTGGCCATCGCTGCCGCAGAGGGCAGCAGGATCCCACTGGGTGTTACGGGGGCCCCTCAAAGCCAGCTTGCCACTTAGCACAGGGAGTGAGTGCTCCTATATGGGAGCAGTTTCCTGCCCTGGCATATGTGTGCAGATCAGACCCATGCAAGCTGCAAGCAACCCCCTGGCAGGTACCGTCCCTCCCAAATGCTGCCCCCTGCTGGCTCGCAAGTTGCTTGCTGTGACCCCGAAGGAGATGCTCACCTCAATGTTCTTGCAAGCCACGTTTTTGACGACAGCTGGGAAGAGGTCGGACGCATTCTTCCCCCTGGCGATCATCTGGGGATGTGAGAGAGGAGACTGTGACCCAACAACATATCTGCAGGCATCCCAGCCTGCGCCCAGCACCAGGCTGTCAGAGTGCCGCACACATACAGCAGCACTGGGGGGAGAACCCAGGAGCTATGGGGCCAGACACATGGGCCACCACCACCTGGGCTAGAAAGCAGAACCCCAGTAGCTTGGTGTGTGTGTGTGTTTACAGCACCGAGCACACTGGGGCCCTGATCCATGATTGGGGCTCTGAGGCTCCATCACAATACCCATGATAATAACAGCAGTATGTGGCCTCACAGCCCCCTCTAGGACCCCCACCACTAGAGGGCATGAGTGCCCAGACACCTGATCCGCTCCGAGCCCCTTTAGCAGAGAGCAATGGGGAACAGCCAACAGGCTACAACCAGAGGAGCTGGCTGCTGCCCAGCTCTAGAAAGTTGGAGGGTGGGGGGTGGGGTTACGAACATGGTGGGAGGGATAACAGAGCAGCGCGGTCTGGGGGAACGAGCCCAGGACTGGAAGCCAGGAAGGACCAAGTTCTATTCCTAGCTCTGAGATCGGCTCACTGCATGATCTCAGGGAGGTTTTTTTCTCTCTGTGCCTCAGTCTCCCCATCTGGGTACGGGGATGATGATTCATACGTGGCGAAGGTTTAAGGCCAGAAGGGACCACCAGATCCTCCAGTCTGCTCTCCTGTGTCTCACACATACACCACCCCACACGGGCACACTAAACCCACCCTCCGAAATTAGACCAAGGGATCACAGTCCACAGGCACCTAGATAGTATGTGCCACAGGCAGAGAACAGGAGCGACCAAGGGGCACCAGTACCCGAAGCCCCCTCAATCGCAGGGAAATGGTTAATGAGATACACCCAGGTAATCCTGGCAAGTGACCCGCACCCACACGCTGCAGAGGAAGGTGAAACCCTCGAGGTCCCTGCCAATCGGATCTGGGGGGAAATTCCTTCCTGACCCCCCCATGTGGTGAGACCCTGAGCATGTGAGAAGAACCAGGCAGCCAAGCAGCTGAGAGAGACTGTGCTCGTGCCACCTCAGAGCCTGGCCCACCCCGCCTAGTGTCCCCCCTGCAGCTTGGCCGTCCCTCAAGTTTCAGAGGAAGGAGATCAAAAAACCCTCCAATACCCAGAATACAATGTGTGGGGGAGAGACCCTTTCTGACCCCTGCAGGTGGCTATGTGAAGCCCTGAAACATGAGCTTTGGGAACAAATGACAGTGTGGAGGGAAACTCCACAGAGAGGAAACTGAGGCACAGCGGGGCAGTGACTGGCTCAGGTCGCACAGTGACACTGTCACTGCTGGGGCTGGGACTCAGGAGCTCCTGGCACTCAGGCCATGTCTCACCCCACCCCGCCCTATGGGAGACACTCACAGCCACGATCCTCTTCATGGCCTCCAGCTTCAGTGAGTCCTTGTTACTGTCCAGCATCTCCTTCAGGTCATCGTGTCTGCAAGTCACAGGGACCTTTGTCAGCAGCCGAGCGGGCACAGATGCAACAAGTGTTGGCAGCTCTCAGCCATGCACAGACAGAGCGTACGCCACATACACCAGCCCACAAGTGATGAGCATGAACACAGTTACCACCCCCACTCCCGGCCTAGTCCATGGTGAGGGGACCAGCTGATGAGGCTGACCGCTCAAAGGCTCCCACCACTGACCAGAGATCCAGTAACCGCAGCCATGGCCATATGCTACTAAGGCTGAATCGCTGCCCTACAAAGGAGTTCAGGCCACATGCTCTCTGGGGGACCCTGGAGAAGCCGGAACCCCTCCCCCCAATGCCGCAGCTGAAGCAGATACCCCTCTGCCCGGCCCCTTCCAACGGAGGAGCTCGTAGCACTTGACAATTTATTTTTACTCTCCTGAGTCCCCGGGGCGGGGTCTACATCACCCACCTTTCACAGACAGAGAAACAGAGGTAGAGAGGGCAGTGACACACCCAAGGCCAGAGCTGGCAATAGAAGCCAGGACTCCTGGGTTCTAGCACACTGCCAGGAGAAAATGGTCTCTTTTTGCAGATGCGTGTGATGCTGCCCCACATGATTCCAAGTGGCACTGTGATCACTGTGCAAAGCCAGTCTGTTAATGACCCCCTAGGAAGTCCCCATCACCAGAGGTGTAGCCCTCCCTAGTGCCCCAATGCTGGGTGCATGTATGTGTCTGATAATTCTGACACATAGACAAACAAAATTTGATGGAGAAGAGCCAACACAGCTTTTGTAAAGGGAAATGGTGTCTCACCAATCTCTTAGAATTCTTGGAGGGGGTCAACAAACATGTGGACAAGGTGGATCCAGGGGATATAGTGTCCTTGGACTTTCAGAAAGCCTTTGAGGCTCTTAAGCAAAATAAGCTGTCATGGGATAAGAGGGAAGGTTCTCTTGGACCAGTAACTAGTTAAAAGACAGGAAACAAAGGGTAGGAATAAACAGTCAGTTTTTAGAAAGGAGAGAGGTAAATAGTGATGTCCCCCAGGGATTTGTACTGGGACCAGTGCTGTTCAACATATTCATAAATGATCTGGAAAAAGGGGTAAACAGTGAGGTGGCAAAGTCTGGAGATGCTACAAAGTTAAGCCCAAAGCTGACTGTGAAGAATTACAAAGGGATTGCACAAAACTGGGTGACTGGGCAACAAATTGGCAGATGAAATTCAATGTTGATAAATGCAAAGTAATGCACATTGGAAAACGTAATCCCACCTAGACGTACAAAATGATGAGGTCTAAATTAGCTGTTACCACTCAAGAAAGATCTCGGAGTCATTGTGGACAGTTCTCTGAAAACATCCGCTCAATGTGCAGTGGCAGTCAAAAAAGTGAACAGAATGTTAGAAACCATTAGGAAAGGGATAGATGATAAAACAGAAAATATCACAATGCCACTATATACATCCATGGTATGCCCACATCTTGAATACTGTGTGCAGTGCTGGTGGCCCCATCTCAAAAAAGATATATTGGAATTGGAAAAGGTTCAGAAAAGGACAACAGAAATGATTAGGTGTCTAGATCAGCTTCCATATGAGGAGATATTAAAAAGTCTGGAACTGTTCAGTTTAGAAAAGAGATGACTAAAAGGGGATACAATAGAGGTCTATAAAATCATGAATGGTTGGAGAAAGTGAATAAGGAAAGGTTATTTACCCTTCACATAACACAAGAACCAGGGGTCACACAGATGAAATTAATAGGTAGCAGGTTTAAAACAAACAAAAGGAAGTATTTCTTCATGCAACTCACAATCAGCCTGTGGAGGTCATTGCTAGGGGATGTTGTGAAGGCTAAAACTATAACCGTATTCAAAAAAGAATTAGATAAGTTCATGGGGGGATACATCCATCAACGGCTATTAGCCAAAATCTCTGACTGCCAGTTGCTGGAACTGGATGACAAGGGATGGATCACTTGATTGCTCTGTTCTGTTCATTCTCTCTGGAGCACCTGGCCACTGTCAGAACACAGGATACTGGGCTGGATGGACCATTGGTCTGACCCAGTGTGGCCATTTTTATGTTCGTATGCGCACAGCCACAGAAAGCAGACCGTGCCCTGCTTGTAGACTGACAGGCCATACCCTCTGCCCCCTGTCCCACAGCATGGACTATACATGCCACAGATCTGACATGCTGCCACCTTCCAAAGCTTTGTGGGTCTCTGGCCCATCAACTGACCGAGTGCCAGTGGAATAGCAAGGAGGATCTAACAGCAGGCAAACTGGAAAGTGTTCCTGTCCAGGGACGGGGGTTGGCGGGCCCCCCAGAGGCCAGATGCTTTGATGGAACCTCTAGGCTCTGGGTGGCTCATTTCTGGTACATCCCAGCAGCAGCTGGTGGATATCTGATATCTGAAACACCCTATATCTGACACAAGGTCCTGGCCCCCCAGTGATAGCTGGGGATGTGATCCACTGTCAGACCGCGAAGGCTCAGCAGGGGGAGATTCTGGGGATGCCTGCTGGCTGGTTCCCCTGATCCAAGGCGCCAAAAAGCCATTCGCTGGCTGTCAGCTCTCACAGTTTGACTGTGAGTTTCAGGATATTTGGTATTTGAGTCAAAGCCCCAGTGCCTGATTCCTGTGAGTACGGGACAATCTTAGCTTTCGTTCAGAGAAAGGGTTTCGTTCCTAGCCCTCCTGGATGTGCAGAAAAGCTGGACGTGACCCGAGCGCAACTGAAAGACTCAGAACCCAGAAGGTGAAGACCCCCCCCCCCCCCCAAAATGCACTGGTTTTAAAATCTCTGGGGCCCAAACTCCTGGCTTTTGGACAGCTGAAGCGGGAATACTCCATTCGCCAGCTGGTAGGATGAGCACCCCCCGCACCCCAGAGCACTCAGGCCTGGGGTGAGTCAGCTTCCCACCCCAACAACGTGCATTGCCCGGGCCAATTCACTCCCTTCCCTGATGCTGGCTGCAGCAGGCTGCTCTATGCACTCTGAGGTTGAAGAGAGAGTGCCCAGCCTGCTGGGTTCTGCTCTAGCCCTCGTGGGAGCTGGGGTTCCACTCCCTGTCCCAAGGAAGCCAGGAAATTAACAGACAGCGAGGTCAGGAGATCTTTCGAACCTTAGCCTGGGTGGGGTGAAGGATCAGGCCAGATCCTCCAGGGGGAGTCACTTGTCCAGGGTAAGGAGCTGGGCCAGCCCTGCTCTTGGATCCAGGATCCATGGAAGCCTGCCAGTGCCAACCCCCATTCCGATCGCACACTGTACCCCGAATGCATGGCTGGTTCAGACTCCCTCAGCACTGCAGCCATAAACTCTGCCCAGGGAAACCTTTCCTGCAGCTGGCACCCCACCCACCTGTGGCATGGGGCCAGGCACAGGCAGCATGTACAGCACACAGCAGCCACTTTATCTCTCAGCACCGGCTTGTGAGGTCTGGCTGTGCAAAGAGAGGGGGCCAGCTCAGAGCAGTGGGCCACAGTGCCTGTCTCATCCTGGGCAGGGCCATGCCACATACTGATCGCTGGCTGTCACAGCAGGGACTCGGCCCAGCCCAGAGCATGGCAGCTGCTATATGTGCTGTGGATGCCGAGTTTGTGGTGGGATTATTGGGGGGAGGGAAGGAGAGGGAATGTCTCCCATCCCCCTGCCTCTCCTGTATTTAGGTTCACAGCTGTAAGCAGTTTCCACTACTCCTTTCCCTCCAGCTCTGGGACTTGATCTGTCCTTCCAGCTGCCCCTGAGCCCTGACGGGGGTTAGTCCTGGGACCTGGTTAAGGAGGCCAGCACCCAAAGCTCTTCTCCTCCGTTCTAGAACAGAAACCCCACTGCCAAGGCCACAGCAAGGAGGCTGCCCCGGGACAGCGAGGAGGGGAAATAGACACGGAGAGGTGCCCCTCCGAGCCACTTCCCAGCAGCAGGGACTGCTCACAATGGACTTGATTCAAACCAGAGCATGCCACTACAAGAGAGATGGAATTACACACGCTCCTCTCCTCTGCAGGAGACAGGCACTAATGGACCAGGCCTCACAGGGAGAGACGCAAGGAGCTGTGCAAGAGAAGGGGAAGGGCCGAGTTGGTCACAGTCTGAAAGTGGCGCAATTCAATTTGTATTTTTATAATTTCAACGAATAAAATAGATGTTCATTTTTAAGCATATTTTTCATTTTTTATCTATTTAATTGTTCAGGTTTGTGGAAAATTATAGGGGGAAAGGGGGGTCAGACAATTATTTAATGACAGTAGAGGTCAAGATTCAGAAAGTTAAAGCTTTATAACCATTAAAACATAAATTGTCAGCGTCATGTCAAAATAGACAAAGGAAATAGGCATTTTTTAAAAAAAATCAAACTCTAGTAATTTCTCAAGCAGCATTTCTCTTCCTTTGCCCTACACGTGGAACAAATATTTGACAACGAGCTCTTTGATCTAGCAAACAAAGATATAACAAGATCCAATGTCTGGAAGTTGAAACTAGACAAATTCAGATGGGAAATAGAATCATAGAATATTAGGGTTGGAAGAGACCTCAGGAGGTCTAGTCTAACCCCCTGCTCAAAGCAGGACCAACCCCAACTAAATCATCCCAGCCAGGGCTCTGTCAAGCTGGGCCTTAAAAACCTCTAAGGATGGAGATTCCACCACCTCCCTAGGTAACCCATTCCACTGCTTCACCACCCTCCTAGTGAAATAGTGTTTCCTAATATCCAACCTAGACCTCCCCCACTGCAACTTGAGACCATTGCTCCTTGTTCTGTCATCTGCCACCACTGAGTACATCTGAGTTCCATCCTCTTTGGAACCCCCCTTCAGGTAGTTGAAGGCTGCTATCAAATCCCCCCGCGCTCTTCTCTTCTGAAGACTAAATAACCCCAGTTCACTCAGCCTCTCCTCGTAAGTCATGTGCCCCAGCCCCCTAATCATTTTTGTTGCCCTCCACTGGACTCTCTCCAATTTGTCCAAATCCCTTCTGTAGTGGGGGGACCAAAACTGGACATAATACTCCA